TGGCGCATGCCTGTAATCCCAGCATTTGGAAGGCTGAAGCAGGAAGATCTGAGTTTGAGGTCACCCTGGGCTACAGGGTAAGTTCAGGCCAGCAAAACTGCATAGTGAGAACCCATCTCAAAAACAACAAAAACCAAGCCTCAGCAGGTTTTTGTTTTTTTGTTTTGTTTGTTTTTTTTAAAGTATTTGGCACAGGGCTCACTATGCAGCTTGGACTCCTTGGACTTGTAGGAGTCCTGTCTCAGCCTCCCTAGTGCTGGGATTACAGGTACAGCCACCACGCCCAGTTTTGGTGGCTAGTTTGGTGCACCTGGGGTGGGGCCGGCACAGCAGGTAGTGCTGGGGATTGAACTCCGGTCCTTGCACTTGCCTAGGCAGGTGCTTAGACTGCTGAGCTATCTCCATGGCCCCCCCATTAAGGTTTTTGTTTGGTTGGTTAGTTGATTGGTTGGCTGATTGGCTGGTTTTAAGATGGCCTCACTATTGTAGTCCAGCGTAGGGATCCATTGGTCTCAGTCAGATGGTTCTACCTGGTAAGAAATGGCAGCAGGAATGAGGAAAAGCTGAGAAGACAAAAGCTGGGCTAGGTGGTCTCTGGTCTACCTGGGAGGTGAGAGGACAAAACCAAAACCAATGTTTATGCTTTTGCAAAGTTAGTAACACGTGACACAAGGTTGTCTAGCAACTAATAGCTGACCTTTACCAAATAGGAGTTTTTGTTTTGTTTGTGGAGTTTTTTATTTTTTTTATTTTAGGGAAGGGTCTACAGTGTGTTCAGAGTCTCACTACTAGATCAGACTTGTAGTGATCCTCCTGTTTACAGAGCTGGGACTACAAGCATGCACCACCATGCCCAGTCTCAAGTGCTGTCCGCTGAGCTATTTGGCCCCAGATAGGATGTTTGTCTCAGGACTGAGGTAGCTTGTTTGTTCTAGGCACCGAGGCCTAGTCTCACATACATATAGTTTACCAATTTTTTATCTTTCGGGGCTCCCAACAGTCCAGGCTGGCCTCAAACATATTGTGATTCTCCTGGCTCAGATCCCTTGGTGCTGGAATTACAGGTGTGTGCACTGCCGCCCCTGGCAGCTTTGGGGGTTCTGGCACCGATGCTCCACTTTCCCAGGTGGGGGTTGGTCACATGTTTATGTTCAGTCTCCAATGCATCGCACAGCACATCACAATGGGTACCCTTTCCTGGCTGTAACCTACATATCATAACAACATTAAAAAACCTGACCTACACACAGTAGTGCACACTTGTAATCCTAACAGTCTGGGAAGCTAAGGCAGGAAAATCACAAGTTCAAGGCCATTCTCGGCAACTTAGCAAAACTAAGGACTGGAGGTGTAACTCAGTGGGAAAGCACCAGCCTAGCACTCAAGGCCCTTGGTTCCATCCTAGCGCTGCTTTTTAAAAAAAAAAAAAAAAAAAAAACTTTGCTGATGGGGCGACCGAGGCCCAGAGAAGGTGAGGCAGCATCTCAGGAGGAAGAATTGGCAGAATGAGGGCCTGGATCCACTCAGGCTGCAGAAATAGGACACCCTGGGCGGAGTGGCGTGAACAACACTGACCTCTCACATGTCTGGAGACAAGAAGCCAGCGAGTGTGAGGGTTTGACAGGGCTGGCTGCCCATGAGGCATCTCCCTGGCTTGCAGGTGGTCTTCTGCTGCATCCTCATGCAGTGTCCTGGGCCCATGGGGTAGTCTTCTTGTGAGGAGGGCACCAGTGTGTCGTAGCTTAGACCTCATGACCCGAGGCCCCACCTCCAAGGAGCGCACCACTTGGGAGGTAGGACTTGGGGTCCTAAGCCTGGCTTGTCTCTCTGCCTGTCTTTCTCTTCTTTTGTTAGAAAGGGCCTCACTGTGTTGTTCAGGTTGGCTGTGAACTTACTGTATAGCCCAGGCTGGTGTCAAACAGTGATCCTCCTGCCTCAGCCTCCGGCATGCTGGGATCACAGGTGTGCAGCACTATGCTTGGCTTCCAGGCTCTGCTCTTAGCTGCGAGTGTTCTGCCTCTGCTTCCCCCACCAGAGTCGGCCATGGAGAGGGACCGCTACATGAGTCCTATGGAGGCCCAGGAGTTTGGCATCCTGGACAAGGTCTTGGTCCACCCACCCCAAGATGGCGAGGACGAGCCGGAACTGGTGCAGAAGGAGCCTTCGGCTGCACCCACAGAGCCTCCTGTGCCAGCCAGCACCTGAGCGAGACCTCCATCCGGGGAACATGGGGCCTGGGCTGCAGCCCCACGCACCCCTTGCTGCTAAGCTTGCAGGGGCCCTTGAGGAACTGTGGACATGGGGGTGCCCAGGCATGTGCGGCAGCCTGGCTGAGACACTGTGATTTAAATTAAATCTTTGCAGGGCTTGTTCTGCACCTGGCGCCTCTGCTCGCTGCTCCGTTACCACAGCGAGCGGTGTGGGTCCCCAGACCTACAGACCACGCCTGCCTTCAGCCAACTGTCGAGAGCACAGCTGTGTCCCAGGCGGCCGCACAGCTGTCTCAGGGGTACACCTTGGGGGGGCGGTAGTGGGAGCATCCAGAAGGAGGCAGGCAAGTGTGTGTGTGACAGTGTGGATGGTGTGGTCCCGGGGCCACACTGACAAGGTGGCAGGCACAGGGGACTGGGGCGAGGACCCAGGAGTTGGGTCAGCCATGTTGGTACATAGGGAAAGAACAGTGGGGGCAGTGGGCACAGCCAGTGCAGAGGACTACAGCAGGTTGGGGGGTTGGGGGATGGCTGGAGCTAGAGATCAAGTTAGGGAGGCAAGGGTTTACTATTGAGATGTGAGAAAAGTCTATAGAATCATTTAATCCCAGCACTCTGGGGGCTAAAATAGGATCACAACTTCAAGTCGCACCCAGGAAATTTATCAAGACCTTCTCTTGAAAAGTGCTGGGAAGTGCCTGCTTAGATGCAGGGACTGGGGTTTCAATCCCCAGTGTGCCATGCTGGCCCCGCCCGGAGGTGGGCTGAGACCGGGCATGGTGGCATGCACCTGTAATCCCAGGGTTTGGGAAGCTGAAAACAGGAGGATCACTATGAGTGCTGTGTGGTGAGACCCTGTAGACCCTGTACTAAATACATTTTTTTTAAAAGCGCTGGGGATATATCTAGTGCAAAGGCCCGGAGTCCATCCCTGTGCTGCCAACAGTAACCACACTATTGGCCAGGCGTGGTGACACCTGTGATCCCAGCCCCCAGGGAGGCTGAGACAGGAGAGCTGCCATAAATTCAAGACCAGCCTGAACTACATAGACCTTGTCTCAAAAGGCAGGCCTAGGTGTGACACATGCCTGTAATCCCAGCCCTCAGGAGGCTGAGGCAGGAGGATTGTTGCTAATTTGAGGCCAGCCTGAGCTGCATCATGACTGTCTCAGAAAGATTTAAAAAAAAAAAAAAAAAAAAAATAGAGGTGGAGAGCTGTTTACTGCAATATGAAGCTGAAGGGGAACAGGAGGTTGGGGACTGGTCAGAAGCAACTTCGATGCATCTTGCTTGATGTTTTGTTTCTCCATATGGGGCTGGGGGAGTAAGATGAAAATGCTAGCACCATGGGGTGTGGATGCATCCATGGTCAAACAGACCTGTTTGCTGGTGTGCTGTGGCTGTCTCTGGTGGCCTTAAATCATAGCGTGGGCCTGGGAAGATAGCTCTGCGGCCTAAGCGCCTGCCTGGCAAGTGCAAGGTCTGGAGTTCAATCCTCGGTACTGCAAAACTAACAAATACATAAATAAAACAGAAACAATGCATTAGGGGCTGGGGAGATGGCTCAGTGGTCTAAAGCATCTACTTAGAACAAACTAAGCTAAGCAAAGCACAGGGACCACGGTTCAATCCCCCAGCACCACATGCCAGCCAGCCTCACCCCCTGGTGGGCTGAGCTGGCCACACACAAAAAATAAGTAAATAAAATTTAAAAAAAAATCGTAGCATGTTTTGAGCTTGAGCCCCAAAGTCAGGCTGCAGTGCATCAAGAAGGAATGAGTTCCACAAAGCTGTCAGCCTCAGGTTGCTGTAGTTCGATCCCCACAACACTCCAGCCAGCCAAACCACCCCTGAGGGCATTCAGAGCAAAAAAAAAAAAAAAAAAAAAGGAATGAGAAGAAAACAAGTAGCAGCAATGGAGAAGCTTTGAGGGATTTGTCCTGTTAAGCCCGGTGCGCTGGCGCACACCTGTGCTCAGGAGGATCGACAAATTTGAGGCCACCTGGACAATTTTTTGAGACTATCTCAAGATAACAGTGGAGCACTGCAGGGTGGGCTACAGTGGTACAGCGCTTGTTTAGCATGTACAAGGCCCAGGGCTCAGTCCTCGTCATGAAAAATAAGTAAAAAATTGCTACAAAGCCCAGGACTGGACTTAACTAAGAAATGCATGACGCTTCGAGGTGATTTTGTTTTGTTGAGACAGCATCTCATCATGCAGTTGAGGCTGGCCTTTAACTATGTAACTCATGCTGGTGTCAAACTCACAGCGATCCTCCTGCCTCAGCCACCCAGTGCTGGAATGACAAGAGTAGACCACCACGCCTGGCCTGCCTGGTGCTGGCCTTTGACCTTGACCCTAACTCTTCAAATTTAGCCTCATCCATCCATAATCATGGCCTTGATATCATCGACCTCACCCTGACCTTACACCTCCCATAACCGCTGATCTCACACCAAGCCCGATCCTTTCCTCACCCTACGCCAGGTCTTCACCAAGCACCCTCTGAACAGGACCTTATCTCATTGCCGACGAAAGAGGCGGGGCTAGGGTAGGACTGCAGATGGATTTGCAGCACAGCCAATGATCTAGGCGGGTGTGGTTGCCGGTGCCCAATAGTTCGAGAGAATGGCGGGCTCAACAGGAGCCAATAGCTGGAGAGCCAGCTGACCAGTGACCAGTAGCCTTGAGCGGTAGGCGGAACTCTAGGTAAAGCCAATCGTTGAAGAGACCTGGCGAGGCCACAGCCAATGACCGGAGGGCGGGGGCGTGGCCCGGGCACGGTACTCTTCTCTGAGGTTATGGCTGGGGGTGGGCGGCTGGCTCTGCGGGCACTGCCAGGGTCGGGCTGGGTGCGGGGCTCGGGCTCCGCTTTGCTGAGCCGCCTGAAGGATGTGGCCGTGGTGCGTCCCGGCTTCCTGAGCAAGGACGAGGAAGCAACGATGAGCCGCGAGGTGGAACCCGAGCTTCGGCGTCGCCGCTACCAATACGATCACTGGGACGCGGTGAGGCTGTAGGGCCTGAGCGGAGCCTGGAGCCGAAAGAGAGCACGCTCGGGGCAGTATCTAAAACTGGGGGTGTGGGCGGGGTTGTGAGGGGGCGTGGCGGGGAGTACGGACGTGGGATTCGTTCTAGGAGATAGGGGCGGAGCGCACTTTGGCAATGAGGCCTGAGACACACATACCTGGAGCAGAATCTGACTTCCAGGAGTGTTTTGGGACCACAGTAAGGGGCAGAACGGATGTGGACGAGATGAGAGAGCCAGAGGCAGAGAGACTCAGCGGGGGGCCTGGCCTTAGCTCAGTTGTTTAAGTGGCTGCTTCTACAAAGCTGTCAGCCTCAGGTTGCTGTAGTTCGATCCCCACAACACTCCAGCCAGCCAAACCACCCCTGAGGAAATTCGGAGCAAAAAAAAAAAAAAAAAAAAAAACCCAGAGAGACCCAGTGGCAGTGGGCCAACTGGGGTCGTGGGTGGGATCAGTTAAGGGCAGAGGCTGAGGCAATTGAGTATTGGGGTAGGACCAGCACCGGAGATGGGAATTGGAGCCTGAGGTCAGACCTCATGGGGGCTGGGATAGAGGTATCCGTATGGGCTTGAGACCTAGCCAGGGTCTGAGCTGTGACGGGGGCCAGGTTAGAGGTGGCCTTGTGAGTTGAGAGCAGGAACAAACTGGGAATAACCTTGTCCCGGGCCGGGGAGGTGGCTCAGTGAAATAAGCGCTTCCCTGGCAAGCCTAAGGGCCTGAGTTCAATCCCCAGTCAAAAAAAAAAAAGAAGAAGAAGGAGAAGGAGAAGGAGAAGGAGAAGGAGAAGGAGAAGGAGAAGGAGAAGGAGGAGGAGAAGGAGAAGGAGAAGGAGAAGGAGAAAAGAAAGAAAGAAAAACTTTGTCCCTCTGTCCTGCAGTTTCTCTGTTTCCCTTGGGAACTGCATGACTTGGCCCAGCCCTCTCTGTTCTCTGTGCAGGCCATCCACGGGTTTCGGGAGACAGAGAAGTCCCGCTGGTCAGAGGCCAGCCAGGCCATCCTGCAGCGCGTACAAGAGGCTGCCTTTGGCCCTGGCCAAACTCTGCTGTCCCCAATCCATGTGCTAGACCTGGAGCCTCAGGGCTACATCAAGCCCCATGTAGACAGTGTCAAGGTGAGCAGAAGCTATTGCCCCAGAGCTCCCAGGTGGGTGTGGGCCGAGCAGGCTGGAGTCCGACGCATCACTGCGGCCCCTCTTCTAGTTCTGTGGAGCCACCATTGCGGGGCTGTCCCTACTGTCTCCAAGTGTCATGCGGCTGGTGCACACCCAGGAGCCAGGGCAGTGGTTGGAACTCTTGCTGGAGCCTGGCTCCCTCTATATCCTGAGGTACAGTGGAGCCGCCCCAGGACACCCACCAGCACTTGGGGTCCCCCTCTCCTTTGGCCCTTACAGCAGACGCACCCAGGGCAGGCGGGGGTAGAGGGGGACGGCAGAGGGACTGGAACCCCTGTCTGCCCAGAGCAACACTGCTCCTGGCACTCCCCATCACAGCCTCTGTTTTCTCTTACAGGGATTCAGCCCGTTACGATTTCTCCCATGAGATCCTCCGAGATGAAGAATCTTTTTTTGGGGAGCATCGGGTTCCCCGGGGTCGACGCATCTCTGTGATCTGCCGCTCTATCCCTGAGGGGATGGGGCCAGGACAGCTACCTCCAGCCTGTTGATCCCCAGGCCTGTGCCCCCAGCTTCTTCCAAACACTGGATTGGTGAATAAAGTTGGACAGACAAGCTAGCTGTTCAGCCTGCTAGAGGGGAACCCAGGGGGAGCATCTGTCCATGGGGAGCCCAAGTGGCGGCATAGTCACAAGGCCAGGAAACCAGTTCTTTATTGTGCTCATGGATGGTGTCCCAGCCCATTGCACCCGGGCTCCCATAAATAAGCTACTGAGCCCCAGAAATGCTGTAGCTGTTTGGTGCATGTGGCTGGCTGCAGGACACTGGGCTGGGCACCTTCAGCCACCACAGCCACAGGCAGCAGCCGAGAGCTGGGGCAGCCGCTGCCAGCGGTGATGATCATCCAAGAAGGCCACATCAGCATAGCGGGTCGGCCTGCAGCAGGGTCCACCATGGGCTTGGCCCTGGCCCCGCAGTCGAGCAAGCGTCAGGCCGTGCTGGGTACGGGCACCACGGGGACAGCTGCCGGCACAGTAGCGGAAGGTGACCTTCTCCTCTGAGGCATAGCCCAGACCTAGCTCTGCCACGGGCAGTGTTAGGCTCCACAGCTGACACGGGCTGCCAGGGGCTCTGCGCAGGCGGGCATGGGGGTATTGGATGTCTGAAGAGAAAAAGGACACTGATAAAGGTGGGTTCCCAGCAGGAAGGAACTCGGTCACTTGCGCTTCTTTGGGAGTCCTTACCCAGCAGTGGCCTCCAGGTCCCTCCAGCATCTGCTTTCTGCGCAGGTAAGAGCTCTCCCTCTGCCACCAGCGTACCTTGGGCATCGGGGCCCCAGCCGAGGCCCAGCTGCAGCGACAGGAGCAGCAGTGAGGCCAGCAGGACTCTCCCCGTGGCCATGGTGACAGGCAGGTCCTAAGGCTGAGGGAGCCCTGGACCTGAATTTATCTGCTGCCTGCAGAGGAGGGAACACTGACCTCTTCACTGCCGGGTTCCACAAGCAGGGAGAGCATGTCCCTATCTGGTTTGTCCCCAGGTTCTCAGGTCCAAGGATGGTCTCCTCCTGCCCCAAACCCCGTCCTTTAAGAGTTAAGGGCTTGTCCCACCGCACCCTGTCCAGACATTCCAGGGCCCCGTTTCTGATGCCCCCTGATTTACGAGTCATCCGGGCAGCCAGAGCCAATCCTGGGTGGAATACCGGTGTCTCCACCCCACCTGCTGTCCGGAGGGGCCCCAATTCGTGAAGGCAGGAGCAGAGACCCAGGGCCCCTGTGGGTGCCGGGTGGGGCAGACGCTTGGAAGGGCAGCTTGGCAGGTGTTGAGGCAGTAGGGATTAAGCCATCATGCTCGTCTCCGGGCCTGGCTGAGCCAGCGTCAAAACAGGAAGAGGGAGAGGCTGGGGGATGGCCAGGTGCGGGGACAGCGCCGCAGAAAACTGCCTGGAAGGCCAAGCAGGACCCCTTGGCTGAGGCTTCATCCTGGGATCAGAGAGCATCGAGCCGAGGGGAGGCTGAGACCCATCGTGTGCATGGCGGGGCCAGCAGCAGCTCCAGGCACAACTGTGGTCTGGTGTGACCCAGAAGAACACTTAGGGCTCAGTTCAGTCCCTGCGCTGAAAGGCTAACCACAGCTTTTCTTAAGACGTTCTCTCAGTGCTGGGGGTGGAACTGAGCCTTGCACCATATCTGTGAAGCGCTCACCACTGAACCCCCCCCCATCCCCATCTTGTTATTGTGCAGCGAGGTCTTTCTAAGTTACCCAAACCAGGCTCAGGGCCAGGGAGATCACTCAGCAGCATACATTGCCTGCCTGGCAAGCTCAAGGTCCTGAGTTCAATCCCTGATACCGTAAAAACAAAAACAGCCCCAGACTTGCAGTATTCCCTTAGCTTCTCAAGCAGCTGGGATTACAAACTGGCCATATATATATATATATATATATATATATATATATATATATAATTTTTGGAGACTGTTGCATTATGTACTCCTGGCTGCCCTCAAAATTGTAACAGTCCTCCTGCCTCAGCTTTCCTGAGTGCTGTAAAGGCAGGAGCAACCACACCTGGCACAAGTGTGTAATCTGGAGGGTAATACATGGCAGGCAAACGCACGAAGCCACCCCCAACCCTTTGTTTTGAGACAGCGTCTTGCTAAATAAACTGCCCAAACTGGTCTCAAAACTCCAGATCTTCCTGTCTTGGCCTCCTGAGGTGGTGGGATCCCAGGTGTGCACCCTGCCCTGCACCCCAGAGCTTCTGAGGCGGACGAATACAGAGAGCTTGTTGGCTGTACATCTCAGCAGGCGTCTGGCCCTACGCACAGGAGGTACTCTGTCCCAAGAAACCTTCACCCGAGTACGAAGCAACGAGCACCAGAGTGGTCACTGCCTTTCTATCCCAGAAGACCATGAGCTCCAGTCCCAGGGAATGCTTTGGTAGCGGTTTTCTCCTAGTACTTATTCAGATTACTCTAAGATGAAATTGCTTGCCTCAAGTTATGCAAATTTAAGAAACAGACCTGGGCTTTGATCCCAGGTCCCCCACAACACAAGAACCCTGCTTCTAACTCTTGGCCACACTGTCCATCTTCTTGCCTAGACCAAGGCCCATGTGGCAGGGACAGCAGGGGCTAAGCTACCAGGGCAAGGAGTGGGAGCTGCTTCCCAGCGGCGCAGCGGGGACATTCCTAGGAATTAGTCTGACATCTCAGGCATCCCTGTTCAGCGGGTGGGGAGGTTTCCCACCATACTTTCCAGCCTGGCAGGGCGGACACCCCACATCTTCGCTTGGGGCCCAGGTTCAAAGGGGGGCTGCAACCTAGTCCCATTCTTGGCCACGTTGCTATCTGGGACTTCAACACACCCTTTCTAAAGAATTCAATGAGATGCTGATAGAGATCATCGGCTTGGCAAGGAGTGAGCAGAACCCCAGAAACATCTCTTGGGGACAGAAAATGGGGCACACATGACAACGCCAGCACCAAGGCTGTGGGCTCTGGTGGCCATGTGGGGACAGAGCCCCTGAGCAGGGGATGACAGGGAAACAGGAGCAGGTGGCACTGCCTGGTAGCTGGCAGAGCCAGAGGGACACCATCTGGAGGCCTCATCTGCAAAAAAGGTAGCCGGGAATCTGCTGAGCACCCGCCCCAATTACCCAAGCCAAGAAGTCACCTACAGGGCAGGGCAACAGAAGACAGGCTCCAGGATGCCAGTGAGCTTGATTCTAGACGCATCAGGCAGGCAGAATGATAAGCATACTTAAAATAAAAATGCAGAAATGTGAAAGGGAGCCAGTTACGATGGTGTGTGCCTGTGAGCCCAGCACCCCGGGAGGCTGCGCAAGGCCAGCCTGGCTATACAGGGAGATCCTGCCCTAACAAGATAAAGCTAAAACAAGGGACAAAACACTAGCCAAACAGTCAATCTGAGACAGACACAAGTACAACTGGGTGAATGATGATGGAGTTGCTGAAACTAAGCTTATGACAGGTTAGGCAGTAGATGACCCCGGGTCACGGCTTCCGAGTGACAGGAACATCTGAGCTGTACTCCTCACCTGGCGGGGACCCCGCCCATAGGACAGAGTAGAGGGGACCCCAAGCACCTGGCCATGAGGCAAATGAACGGCGGAATGGGGAGAAGGGGACAGGGCAGAGGCAATCAGGACCACGGGGCCAGGCAGCGTGGGGTACCCAGGTATTTATTGGGGGCTGGGGCCTCATTCTTTGAGGGAGAAGTGCATCTTGTCGTTGACCATCTTGCGCTCGGGATTGAGGCGTTTTAGGATCTGGGCCAGCACGTTCACCGTCTGCTCGCTGCTCAGACCCGTCTTCTTGGTCTGGAACTTCTTCAGCAGGTCCTTGGTGGTCATGGGCTTCCGGGTCAGGTAGCGCCGCACAGCGTCCTCGGTCACCTGCACATCACTGGGGGGCACAGGGTAGAGGTGGTCCACGGCCCCAGGGGTGCAGGCCCCCCAACCCCTACCCCACAGTTCCTGTCCCCGGGGACTTACCCGCTGCTGGGTGTGGACTTTCCTGAGGGCGGCTGTGGGGTTGACTTCCCAGAAAGGCTCTGGGGCCCTGCATCCAGCCGCAGTCGCTTGGCTGATGGTGCCTCGCTTGTCCGCTTCCCTGTTGGGGAGGCTTGGGGTTGAGTCTTTCATTTTTGCACTGCAGATTAAGCCCCAGACCTCTGCACTGATCTATGTACTAGGCTCTTTTATTTCTTAAATGATGAGTCCGAATCTCATTAAGTTGCCTAAGCTGGGCTCAAACTTGGGGCCCTCCTGCTTCAGCCTCCTATAACACTGGGCTGAGAAGTGTGTGCCACTGTGATGCTCAGGGTGGCAGGTGGGACCTTTGAGCAGGCAGGGGAAGGAGCATGGGCGCAAAGGGCCCAGGAGGACAGAGGCGGCCAACTCACCTTGCTCCAGCTTGGTGGCAGCTGCCCGCAGGGTGGAGGAGGTGTTGCCGCCCTCTCCACTGGGGGAGCTGGGGCGGCTGTTTCCACGTGAGCTGCCTCCCGAGGGCTTCCGCTCCCGTTTGGGGGGCGTCTTCTTCTTCTGCAGAGCCGGGATTGCGGCTGAGTCTGGGGCCAGCCCCCCACCTGCCAGCCCTCCACACAGCCCAGCACCTAGGCCAATCCTCACCGTCATGAACAGGGCAGAGGAGGCCTCGCTGTCGATGTCGCTCTCCTCAGAGCTGTCAGATTCGTCGCTGCTATCTGCAGGAACCGAGGGCTGGGAGTCAGGGCAGCAGGTGCAGCTAGGCCAGCTGTCACCCTCACCGCCACCACAGCCTGGGAGGGCCCACCTTTCCGGCGCTTTTTCTCCTGTGGGGTGGCAGCCTTCTTCTCCTCCTCCTCCTCCTTGTCCTCCTCCCCGGTGGCAGTAGCGGCCGGCTTTTCCTCCTCACTCTCCTCGCTGCTCTCACTCTGCTCATCCACACCTGGGGCAGCCCGGTGCGGGAGGGGGTGAGGGGGTTAGGGGGCGTGTCCCACGGCTCCAGGCCCCACCCACGCCGCCCGAGGCCCCGCCTACCCTTGGGCCCCTCCTCCTGCTGCTGCACTTTGGGTTTGCCACTCTCGGGCTCGTCCTGGGAGCTGCTGTAGGCAGAGGTGCAGAGGGTGGGTGCATGAGAACCTGAGGTTCCGGCTGGGCCAGGGTCTCGCACCCACATTCTGCTGGACTCACCTGGAGCCATCGGACATGTAGTCCACTTCCTGGCCCTCGAAGTCCCCGTCGTCGCTGTCCTCAAAGGCCTCATCATCGGAGCCCTTCTTCTTCTTCTTCTTCCTGCCCGCCTTGGTAAGCGGCGCCTTCTTCTTGGTCTTGGGGGCTCTGCTGCCTGCAGAGGGGACGGGGCACAGAAAGGTCAAGCTGCGGCCTCCTTGTGCCCTTCCTGTTTCAGGACCCGCAGACCTCCAGGGACCTCAATGCAGGCCGCTCCCCAGGCAGCTCACACCCCAACCCCTAAAGGGGAGCACAGCAGGAAACCTGCCCGGCCCAGCACCCGGCGCAGCTGCAGACGACTCACAGCCCGGGCTCCTCCTCCCCTCAACACTCAGTGGCCGATCCTAAGCTGTCCCTCCCTAGGAGGGCCCTGATAAGGGCCCAGCCCTAACTCCACCTTGTCCCACTTCCACTGGGTGCCTCTCACTTCCGAGGCAACCAGCATATGGAGCCTGTCTCACAGCATTAACCAATCAGCCCCCTTGTGCAGCGGGACCAGGCCCACCCTCTTCGCCGCTGGCCTCGCTGTCATCCGAGGACATCTCCAGGTCGTCCTCCAAGTCATGGATGCGCAGACCGCTGGTCTTCTCCCGGCTGCGTTTCTCCTTCTCCTCTTCGTCCTCGTCCTGGCCCTGGTCCTTGAGCCGCCGCTGCTGCATGATGCTGAAGTGGTTCAGGACCTTGTTCCTCCTGTGGGGCACAGGGCAGGTGAGAGGCAGCCTTGCACCTCTACCTTGGGAACCAGGAGGTTTGTAAATTTTATGGCCAGGCTGGGCTAAGCGGCACAACCCTGACTCAAAGAAAAAAGAAAAGAAAAGAAAAAAAAGGAAGAAAGAAGGAAGAAGGAGAAGAAAGGAAGGAAGAGAAAAAGAAAGTCAGACAGCCAGCCAGCAAGCCAAAATCTGGCACTGCATTTAATGAAAAAAGTTAGGACATCTACCCATTGCAAATGTACAAAATTCATGAGTGTTGTAAAAAGGAATGAAATGTTTTCATTTTTTTATAGTGCTAGGGATTAAACCCAGAACCTCTGCACTGAGCTATGGCCCTAGCCTTATCTTTGTTATTATTATTTTGAGGCAGGGTCTTGCTGGCAAGTTAAGGCTAGCCTTGACCTTGTGTAGCTCAGGCTGCCCTTGAACTCACAGTGATCCTCCTGCCTCAGCCTCCCAAGTTTCAGGATTCCAGATTTGTTCCACCACACCTGGATCCTTTCTATATTTTATTTTGAGACAAGATCTAAGCCACTCAGTTGCACAGCTGGCCTGAACTTGTCATGTTCCTGCCTCAGTTTCCTGAGTAGCTGAGATGACAGACTAAATACACTTTTTCAGGCTGGCCCATAGGCCAGAGCACCTGCCCACACCATGGATAGGCCTCAAGGTGGTGTGACCCTCTGGAGGTCACATCCTCCAGTGGGCACACAAAGGCCTGAGTCACAGTCTCTCTGCTCTGGCCCCTCACCCTGCATCCCTGGGCCTTGTAACTGCATCCACCTTGTCCCATCCAGAGCAGCCGTCCCTGGAAGTCTCTCCTAAAGCCCCAACTGTCCAGTGTGGCATGGACTGGCCAGGGCAGCGATCCTGCAGGGCCACCTCCCACCTGCAGGAGCTCAGCCGGGCCATCCTGCGGCTGCTGCACAGATGTGTGTAGCCCTGGCCTGAACTGCAGCAGGGCCACACCTGTGCAGTGCCCACTTTCTGCCCTGCCCACCTGCAACTCACCTCTCCCACTCCTCCTCAGCCTCCTCAGCTGTGAGCGTGCGGTGCCGAGCCAGCGGTGTGAAGTTGTACCAGTTGTGCACGGGGAAGGCCTCGAAGGCCCCATCGGGGCATTGTGTGAAGATGTAGTAGGACGTGTTCTCTGTCACGCCTCCCTTCTTGATGCCCTTGAACCTGTGGAGAGCCTAGGTCAGGTTATGGAAGCGCCTGCTGAAGCCTGTCCCCCTCGCCTGCCTCCTCCTCCTTGGAGCCCGCCTGGGTCATGGCCAGTGACCACGAGGCCTACGGCAGGTCCAGTTGGGACCCTCAGAGCTGAGCAAGCCTGTGTGTACGTGACAGGACTAGCCACAGGCTGCTGCTGGGAACCAGCCCAGGAGTCAGGCTGAAGGGGGACAGACAGAATGGCCCGACCCTCAGAGGATTCTCAATCCAGGCCACCACGTCCTAGAGCCCAAACAACAGCCCAGGATCCATGCAGCCTGCACCCCAACCTGCTGCTGCCCCAAATCCAGGTGATCTTGTCTTTTTGGTTTTCCCAGTCCTGGAGATTGAATTTAGGGCCTTCGCACTGAGCTATGTCTCCAGCCATTTTTTTTTTTTTTTTT